CCCTTCCCCAAATAAACATATGCAAAACAAAAGTACCAGGAGGTCTTACTTTCCAATTGGTATCAGCAGAAGAAGCAAACTGAGCTTAGGGCAGCAGCTTCATGGACTAATTTAAAATAATTCTGGTTTACTTATTAATTCAGGTTTTTTCAGGTACTTCTTAATCAGAGTTGTATAAATGAATTATATTAGAAAGTAAATTGTGTGTGTGTGTGTGTGTGTGTGTGTGTGTGTGTGTGTAAATCATTAAACAGAAAGCCATTGATTAGACTTTGCACCAGGCCTTTGGCCTGACTTGCAGCTGATTTGTAATCACACTGGTGGAAAGTCAGAACCAAGAGAGAAGGGAGGATTTCAGTGCAGAGGAGACAGCCAGTGAGGAGCCACAGTGAATGGGGCTGACCAACGTCTGTTCAACCCAACAAGTCATTCTTGGCTTTTGAGAACGAACCCGGAGGATATAAGGCAGCGGAAGCCAGGAGAGCTGTCCAGGAGGTGCATCAGTCATTTCAAACTTCTTTCGGGCTAGCAGACCCGGAATGAAAGAAGGAACACTGTAGGGATGCTGTGTAGACAGGATCTTTAGTGGGGACGTAAAGGAGCTGGTGGGAGAATGCTGTGAGCATAAGCTCAAAGGGACGGAACGGCGATTTAGAAAACTGTTACCTTTGTGAGGATCCTGCTTCACTCCCTGGAACATTCTCCTTAGTGTATTAATAATGTATTGTAGCCTACTGTCTTCAGCAAAGGAAACAGGAGAAGTACTTGAGTTGTGGGACGAATTAGGCCACAGTTGGCTTAGGCGTAGGCTCAAGCAAAGATTAAGAACAAGGTATAATGGATCAAAGGTCAGGACAGAGTATCAAGATGAGTTAAAGAATGACTGTCGCATGCAGATCGAATGGAGAAAACTTGATGCAGAACTTCCTTTGGCTGGTTCTGTCCAAGAGGAGAGCACGTAACTTTAAAAACTGCTGTCTGCTAACGAAGCACTTGTCAGCCTTAGAGCACCCGGCCCCCTGATACAAGTGTTAGCTGCTGCTGCTGCGTGGGTAGGTCAGCTGGTGACCTGCCCCTGTTCGGAACAGAGAGAGCTGGTTTTCTTCCGTCAGGGGCAGGAGCAGGGTTTGAGTGCCCGCAGCTGGTGCTGAGTGTGACCAGAAGCCGTGCGCCTGGTCCTGGAACGTAACTGAGTTCTTGAAGACCGCTAGCAGCCGAGGCATGGAGGACCCCATTGCTAAATTGGGATTGATTAGTACAGTTGGTGTGTTTCCTACCACCAGAGATCAACTCCATAATGTTCTAGAGAAGTCTTTTCTCACTAGCAGCCCATTGGGAATTACCAAAACCCCCTTAATGGCCCAAAGAGGCAATATATTCTTTAAACGGGGCCACTGAACCTTGGTAAGGGTGACCCTTCACACAATAATGCAAGTGGGTGACCCCCGAAGTCCAGTTTCCTTCTCCTGTGACCCAGTCTCAGGAAAAGGGCTTCATGAGTTCATTAGCAGCTGGGCTATTTTTGGGAGGTACAATGTGTTTCAAGGGGTTTTGACTCTTACTCCGGGCAGTGCCTCTAGTCACCATGTACTGACCCCTCCTGTTCTAGGCTCCCCTGTCACATTCAGCTTTCTACTGAAAAGTTAAGAAACCACCCCAGCTTTACAGGATTCATAGTCTAATTGGCAGGATTCTGACTCGGGGATTCTGGGAGCTATGGAGCCAGATGAGGGAAGAATTGCCGGCAAGGGGTTCTTGAGACTCCACCAAGAGGCAGCCGTTATTTATTTCACCGGTGGCAAGGCTGCTCCGCGCACACACACAGCCCTTTCCCGACTGGACAGGTGTGAGTGCGTTGTAAAACTGCTCATCTAAGTGTAAGGTGAGGGGGAGAAGTCAAGTGGGTGTCTCAAGGGGAATTCACACAGCTCTCCGCCTCCTTCCCACCCACAAGTCAGCAGGCTCACTGTTCTCCAAGTGTCTGTGTAGACCACAGGCCCGCAGGACGCATCCTCTTATTGAAGTGAATAAATGCTAGGGTTTATAGTGGTGCATCATTATCTGGAGTTCTCAGGGCATTGGTGGTGAACCTGTGGACTTGTTCACTATAGTGGTGTGCTCTCCACACACACAGACTGAGCACGATCGCAGTCCACAGCAGCATGCTCATGGGAAGACTTGAACTCCATTTTTATAAAATGGTGAAAAGTAGGAGAGGACTCACCTGAAATCGCCCCGGGGAAGGAGGAGTCTCGAGTACTTGTTTGACCTCTCAGTAGGGCTCTTTCGAGGAGTCTGGTTTTCTCTGAGCTTTCCAGAAGGTAGAACTTGGAGATGGCGGGGCTGGAGTGTTCTTTCTAGTATGATGGGTGTCTGACTCAAATGTCGAGTGTTGAGAAAAATGGAGACCGATAGATTTTAAACATGGTTATAAGAGGGAGATTTTCATCGGGGAGGTTGTGTTTGAATGAGCCACAGCTGTCTTTTGGGATCCGTCACTGTGGCCGTGGGGCTCAGTTTGTCTGAATACAAGAAAAGACCCAGGGCTGTTACTTCATGCAGCCTGCGCACTGCTTTTGGCTCGGCCATGGCTTTGTCCGCAGCGCCTACAATCAACGTGGTGCTTTGGTTACTTTAGAATCAGTGTCTTAAATTGACTGATTTAAAAGGGGAATTAAAAGCAAAGACCATTGCAACCTAGCACTTGCTTTTCTTTCTGTTCATTTATAGTGCCTGCTTGTTGTTTTATTCTCCTGTTTTTCTTTCTTTTTCAGATGATTGCCGGAGAAAGTCTGTCTGTTCACTTTAACAGCTTGCAATCAAATTCCTTTGTCGGCAATCACTATATAGCCAGTATCTACAAAGCCATCGGAGCCTTTTTGTTTGGAGCGGCAGCCAGCCAGTCCCTGACCGACATAGCCAAGTATTCTATAGGCAGACTGCGTCCTCACTTCTTGGCTGTCTGTGACCTTGACTGGTCCAAAATCAACTGCAGTGATGGTTATATCGAGAACTACATCTGTCGCGGGAACGCAGACAAAGTCAGGGAAGGCAGGTGAGTGTGTGTGCTCTCCAACGCCCGTGTCGCCTTGAGTGGTGTCCGCTGGCTCCGAGGTTTGCAGGCCTGGAAGAGGAGCTGCCTGCCACTTCGCTAAGAGACGCTGGGGCAAGCCTCGGAGTGAGAGGAATCATGAAGCACCCTCAACCCCTGTCCAGCTGTTTAGACCGTGGTGTTTCTGCGTTCATTAGGAGCATTTTACTGAAACTGTTTATTATGATGTATGAGCGTGTAAACTTTTTATGGTCAGTAAACTTTTTCTGAAGATGCTGGTTCAAGGCCTGGAGAGATGGCTCAGTGGCCTAAGTTTCTTCACTTATAGTAGGGTTCTGTCTTGACAGAGGCATTTTAAGCTGAAAATGTCGTAAGTCGTGTGTTCAATATACCTATGCAGTCTAAGCATCTGTCACACAGTGACTGCGTTACACTCAGGAAAGGTGGCTTTCCTTCTTGGCCATGTGGCTCACTGGTAGCTGTGGCTAGCCACCAGTGCCCAGGTCACAGAGTTCTGGACCCTGTGTTGTGTAACGGAAAGATCTTTATAAATCAATTTTTAAGATCCAGTTTCTACCCGGTAAGTGTTACTTTCATACCATAGTGAAGTAAAACAAAGTTGTAAGTTAACAGTCTATGTACTAGCTGAACTACCTTTTAAAATCGCTTTACTGGTGTATAATTTGTATCCATGAAATCTGTCCACCCTTAATCAAGGTTGTGAGTATTATTTCCGTTGCATTAGGTTTTTGTCTGAGCCTCTGGCAGCCCTTGGGTCAACTTTCTGTCCTCGCAGTTTTGTATTTCCTATGATGTTGTATGTGAGATCATTCAGTGAGGACTCTGATATGTCTGCCTTCTCTTTTTAACATGTTGGTTTCATGATTCATCCATGTTGTTCTGGAAGATTATTACAGGAGATTATTATGCCGGTCCAGTCGTCTGAAAGTTGTTTGACATTTAGGTTGGTTCTGATTTGGCGCTTTGAAAAATAAAGTTTCAGCGGGGCATAGTGGCTCACACCTTTAATCCAGCTCTTGGGAGGCAGAAGTGAGTCGAGGCCAGCCTGGTTTACATAGTGAGATCCAGGCCAGCCGGAAGTACACAGTGAGACCCTGTTTCAAAAAATAAAATGAAGTAAGATAAAAGGTGCTCTAAACATTTGTGTGCATGTAGTATGCCTTTTATTTCACTTGAATAATCAGGAGCAGAAATGCTGAGCAGATAATATGTGCGTTGGTACAGTTCCAGGCCACCAAGTGTCGCAAGTTGTAGCACTCTGCATCCTTCCCAGGAACGTATGAGTCCTGGCCGTCATTTGCCATTAGTCTTTGGTGTTTTGGTCATCCTGCGGGCTTTCTATATCCAGTGGTTTTCCTTTGTATTTTGTGGCTGGGTGTCTTCATGTGGCTTTGTCCTGTTGGTCCTGTCATCTGGGAAATTTCTGCTCAGCTCTGTTCTTGTTATATATATATAAAAAAAAAAAGTGGGTCCCTGAGTTGTGAGTTACTTATTTTTATACATGGCATTTTGGAGACATGTTTTGACATATTTTCTGTCAATCTGTTGCATCGCTGTCTTTTTTCTCACTGATACTCCTTGAAGTATAGAAACATAAACTTTTGAGAGCTTGTTTGTGTGATGTTGTGTGTGTGTATGTGGAGGGAGAGGTTGGTACTGCATGCCTTCTCCAGTTACAGCCCACCTTAGGTTTGGAGCCAGCGTCTCTGGAGTGGGCTGAGCCGGTTCCACGAGCCTCGCTTGCCGAGAGCCCCAGCGATCCTCCGGTTCTAGGACTCGGGTCCTGGTGCTTGCGTGGCGAGCAGGGCTCCAGTGTCTGAGCCACTGTGCCTCTGGCTTTCATGGTCCGGGGTTGGGGGTCCTAGAGAATCTAGACCCTCCCGTGCTGTCTAAATCCAGCTTTCAGCTTAGCTCCTACAGTAAGTCCAGCATTTGAATTTATTTCGTGTATAATGTAAGGAAAGAATATTTATTTTCCCCATGGACTATGCAGTTTTCAGAATTATTGACAAATCCATCTTTGCGGGGAGGGGATTGAGACAGGGTTTCTCTGTTGTAGCCTCAGCTGTCCCAGGACTTGCTCTTGACCTCAGAGAACAGGCTGGCCTCGAACTGAGATCCACTTGCCTCTGTGTTGGGATTAAAGGTGTGCACCACCACTGCCAGCCAAATACATCCTTTTTAATTTAAAATTTTAAATTCTTTAAAATTTTACTAGCATTTTGTTGCAAATAAAGTAACTATAAATGTGGGTCTGCTGCTGGGTGCTCAGTCTGTTTCATTAATCTGTGTTCTTTTCTCTGCCGGTATTATATACCGTAACAAGCTTTCTTTGTCTATTGTAGGTCTTTTGTGTCTCGTTTGCTAGAATTTTCATTGAGATTGCTTCAGATCTTTACATTTTTGGTGGCTTGTGATCTTATTAAAAATATTTTTTATTATTTTTGTTCTGAGTCTGAGTGTTTTGCTTGTATGTATGTATGTATGTATGTATGTATGTATGTATGTGCACCATGCTCATGCCTGGTACCTGCAGAGGCCAGAGGAGGGCGTCAGATCACTTGGAACTCGAGTTACAGACAGTTGTGAGCTTTCATGTGGGTGCTGGGACTCGAACTTGGGTCATCTGAAAGAGCAGCGTACTCCTAACTGCTGAGCCATCTCTCCAGCCCCCACAGCTATTAATCTGTAACACACCAGGTCTCCTAACTCAGGAAGATGGTTTTCTTTAGTTACCAGTGATGACTTCCTTTTCCATCTCTTTTCCTCGATCTCTGGAGCCCAGGAGATGTCACAGTCAAGAATAGTCTAGGCCCGGGGTGTGGCTCCCGGGTAGATCCAGGTTGGATCCCAAGCAGCAAACAGAAAAAGAGAACACGGGGAGGGAAAAGCTCTCTCGCAGGAACCGACGTCAGCGTTTCTCTTCTTTTCCCCCAGGTTGTCCTTCTACTCAGGCCACTCTTCATTTTCCATGTACTGCATGCTCTTTACAGCGGTAAGTCTGGGGGGCGGGGATGTCTGCGGGGGCGGGGCGGGGGGCGGGGCTCCGCACGCAGGTGGAGCCAAAGGCAAGAGGCAGGAAGCTCGCGGCACTCTGGAGCTGCCAGGTGCGGCCAGGTGCCCTGTGTGCGACACCGCTGGGTGCAGAGCCGCTGTGCTCCCTGGGCAGGGCCCTTGGCTGGGGCCCAGCAGCTGTGGCTACCGCTGGAGCAGCTGTGTCCTCTTTTCACTTTCTGAAACATTTCCTAGAGACTCTGCACCGGCTAGGTGCAGCTTTGAGCCTGTGGGTCCGCACACTTGCCATGTTCCAAGTTGGCATGGAGGAGTTAGAAAAGATGGCCACCCACACAGCTCGCTAAACCAGAGATGAGTATGTGAGACTTCGTCAGTACACACTCGAGGAATCTTTAAGTCAGTTTATATATTTTACACACACACACACACACACACACACACACACACACACACACACACATGCTTATATGCACACACACATATATATTTATATATTTTTGTTTTTTTTCAGACATGATTTCTTTGTGCAGTTTTGGCTCTCCTAGAACGAGCTCTGTAGATCAGGCTGGCCTCCAACTCAGTTGTTATATTTTATAACATTCTTTCTGTGCTTACATAATTACTTATGTCATTCCATCAGCTAGAATTTTTGTGTTTTTTCTTTAAAAAGAAAAGTATTTTATTATGTTTACGTGTGTGTGTGTGTGTGTGTGTGTGTGTGTGTGTGTGTGTGCGCGCGCGTACGTACGTACGTACGTACGTATGTACGTACATGTGTGCACGTGGAGGACAGAGGACAGCTTGTTAAGCGTTCTCTTCCTCCCTGTGGGTCGTTGGGGTTGAGCTGAGGTCAGGCTTGGTGGCACCTTTGGCGCCTTTACCTGCTGAGTCATCTTGATGGTTCTCTGTTAATTGTCTTTGTAAGTAAATTTTTATATAGTTTAATTAATATGACCATATGTTAAATATAGCATGAGTCTTTAAAGATTAGATAAATAATCCATTATATAGTTGGGCAGTCACATAGGTCTATCATCTAGCACTTGGGAAGACTGAGTTCTGGGCTTTATCTATGGAATTCAATCTGATGTGAACGAATGTTGAGTTAATTTGGTAACAGAATTTATAATCAACTTTACATTTTTTATTTGAAAAACCTGTAAAAAAAATTTGCAGATGTTATATAACACTCAAGTTCACAACTTCAAGCCATTACTGGGTGATTTTTGGATGCAACATTCAGAAAATTCACAAGGCTTTCCTCTTACGACTCAGCAGAATCCGAGCCTTCTTTGAAGGCTCACATTCAAGTCTTTCTGTGGCTGTGCCTAGAGGTGTGACTCATTTCAGGGTAGTTAACAGCAAACAGCGCTCTAACAGTCTCTGTTTATCTTGTTAGGGAGAATTAGCTCTTGTTCCAAAGGAACCAAACATGTTTTGTTTTCTAACTAGGATATGAAGGAAAGCTGGGCTGCTCAGAGCCAGGTGTACCCACACGTAGGACTTGGTCCAAAGCACAAGGTTGTGGGCACAGTGATTGGCTTTGGAAGTGTTCAGCCAGACCTGCTTGGGTCTGTGATTTGTTTTCACTGCCTGAGTGTCAGTGTCTCTGACCTTGAAAGAGACGCAGGATTCTGTTTTGGTTGCTGTCAGTGATTTATATTTTACACTTAAAACAAAACTCTCTCTTGTAATTTCCATGTAGAAAAACGTGGAGTGACTGCTACTCTAGGGGGAAGAGTAGAGGCCTTGGAAGGGGCTGTGGTCTGTGAGCTTTGCAGAATCTCTTGCCGATCAAGGGCACTTGCTTTTTTGACTACTTGAAAGCTTGGAAGTCACACAGATGGAGGGAGGCTCAGCTTGCCCTGTGGGCATGTGGGAGCCTTTGCTGTGGACACCATGAAGTCGTACCGGGTCAGTGTGACTTGACAGAGGCCTGGGAAAGGTGGCTCCATTAGTGAAGGGCCTGCCTGCAGGGATGACCCCCTCAGTTTTCCAGTCACAGCACCCATGGAAAACGCTGCGTGTGCTGGCCCTTGCCTGTAACAGCAGCACCAGGAAGGCAGACAGGAGGCCTCCTGGAGATCACTGGCCAGAGCTCCAGGTGCAGTGAGAACCCTGACTCAAAAAGTCAGGCTGGAAATATGGCTCAGTGGTTACTGCCTGTTCTTCCAGAGGACCAGGGTTTAATTCCCAGCACCTACGTGGTGGCTCAGAACTGTCTGCAGCTCCAGTCCCAAGAGACACAACACTGCCTTCGGGCCTCCAAGGGCACCAGGCATGCGGATGTACACTCAAGCAAAACTCATACACCGGACACAACTGGAAAACAATAGAGGAAGCGCCCAACACAGACTTCTGGCCTCAGTGTGGCACCTACCCATATTCTTAAGTGTCCCCAGATTCTTGAGCTCACAGTGTGCACCTAGCATACAAACTTACAAAGAGAAAAAGCCTAGCCGGGTGTGTTATAACCAAGGCGATTCTGGAGGACGGCAGCCACATGCTGTGTAACTGGCCCGACACAGGAGACATGGACTTGACTGGCATGTAGGCTTAGCTTTGACTTCATCCCTGAACAAACAGTGTCTCCCGGCTTTCCTATTTATACACAGCACAACCTCCCCTCTCCCACATTCCTGAGGCAGTGACTCACCTTGTTTCCCTGGGCATCTTGGCATTATAGGTCAGTCCCAGGTTTGGGTGGAGATAGCCATTTAAAGTCTGAAGATGCCTGACACTTACAAAGTAAAATTACAAACTCAATTACAAAATTTCTCCGAAAGCCCGTCCTTTGACTGTTGTGGCCTGGCAGGCAGCCCAGCCCTGAGCTCAGTGCCGGGAAGGAGCCCCAGTGCCAGAGCTGGAGGGGCTCTGGGCAGGGCCGCTTTGCACTTGCTGTGACTCCCCTTGAATCCGGCTGACTGCCAAAAATCACAGATTTTGTGGCTGTCAGAGTAGCCATGAGAGAGGACAGTGAGAAATGTGTCAGGTTTTTCGTGGAGCCATCCTACCGAGGTTTATTACGTCATGGCCCCTAACGTCTCTTTCACAAAAGCAGTCCCACCTTCTTTCCTAGCATCCTCACCACTGGGGTGTAGACCCCTGCCTACTTCAACCTGTATTCCTTCACACCACTCCTTCCTTGAGACTTGTGGGCATGGAGCACCGACCTTGGACCACTTAGCATTGTTTCTGGCAGATGTTTTCCAGCTGTGGAGGAACACTGAGCAGGTGATGACTTCATGGCTCAAAGACGAATGTGAATTAGGATCTCCATGAACGGTGGAGATGCTCAGAGAAGCCTCAACCAATGCCTGTTTTACTGGGCAGACTCAGTCTCTATTGTAGGTGGACCATCAACTTAGCTTGTGGGGCGAGTGTTTGTGTTGAGTATGTCGTTAGTGTTGTTCAGGGCTAGGGGATTTTAGTAAAAGGACAAACAAATATTCAAACTTTAAAAATTTTTATTTTTCCACTCTAAAAATAACTCTCCCTTTTATGGTGTTAGGGATCAAACTCAGCCCCCACTACATACACATATTAGTCAAGTACCCCAAATAACTGACCCCTTGACTCCAGTTTACAGTGGGAAGTGGGGGGACCTGAGACAGCAACAATATTAACAAGGCCAGCCATTGGGCAAAACAGAAATAAACGAGCTACAAAAGTGTTTTGCTCAAGCCTATTTCAGGTGAGATTATTGTATCGTAATGGAAACAAAATACAGTTTCTGGCCGGGCGGTGGTGGCGCACGCCTTTAATCCCAGCACTCGGGAGGCAGAGGCAGGCGCATCTCTGTGAGTTCAAGGCCAGCCTGGGCTACCAAATGAGTTCCAGGAAAGGCGCAAAGCTACAAAGAGAAACCTTGTCTCAGAAAAACCAAAAAAAAAAAAAAAAAAAGAAAGAAAGAAAGAAACAAAATCCAGTTTCTGAGATCGTTTCCCCAGACTGGCTCTACCCTCCCTCAGGACAGGTGGTTGGGGTGCTGTAATCGATGACCACAGATCAGAGAGCTCCCGAACTGCAGTGCGTTCTCCAGTTGTCTGGAAGCAGGGGCAGCATAGTCAGGTTCTGCTGAGGACCCTCCTGGCCGCACACTGCTGACCTCTGCTGTAGCCTTACACGACGCAAGTGATCTGGAGCTCTTGGGGCCCATCCAACAGCACTGTCCCCTTTATGAAGGCTTTGCCTCCATGACCCAATTAGCCTGCCAAAGGCCTTGTCACCTCTTAGTGATAGGGTGGTAGGATCTGAGGGCATATTCCGTGGTAATACAGGCATGGGGAAAATACCCAAATTGTCTCCAGTGTTTAAAAAGCCGGAAGCTCCAGTGTTAGCATGAATTTGGAAGGCCTCTGCACTTTTTTTTGTTTTGTTTTTTTTGAGACAGGGTTTCTCTGTGTAGCTTTGCACCTTTCCTGGAACTCACTCTGTAGCCCGGGCTGGCCTTGAACTCACAGAGATCAGCCTGCCTCTGCCTCCCAAGTGCTGGGATTAAAGGCCTGTGCCACCACCGACCGGCCAACCTCTGCACTTTGGCCTGTAGGTGGATTGGCCAGCTTCTTCCACCATCTTTTGTGGGCATAACCACTGGTCAGGGCTCTCCCATGGAGTAAGCAGCTGCCTGGATAATCTGTGATGTTACAGATGAGAAGGCCGTATTTCTTCAGATGTCTGCAGAGCTGGTCTCCCTCCTTTCCAACTTGACAGACCCTTGACCGTGCAGGGAGCAGGGAGGTTCACCAGGATTTTCTAGAATCCTACCTCAAGAGTGGCTTGATAGGCCCAGAGCTGCCATCTTGGACACAAACCCACACCTGGAGAATTTTCACAAGGGCCACTGGCCCTGAGGTGTTCCTAGAGGATTTTGGTTGATCCCTAAGGCCCCTTCTTTTCCTCCTGGTCTCTAAAACTTGGCTGGCTTGCTGGGATCTTGCCCTAAGTCACTGGAGAGGTGGTTTCACTTAGTAGAGCAGCAGTTCTCAACCTGTGGGCATCGAATGAGGGGTTCACGGGTTGGTCACCTAAGACCATCAGAAAATGCATTTACGTTACAGTTCGTGACAGTAGCACAGTTATGAAGCAGCAACGAGAATAATTGTATGGTTGGGTGGGGTCACCACAACCTGAGGAGCTGTCTTAAAGGGTCACCACAGCATTAGGTTGGGAACCACTGAACTGGAGTGATGTGATGGGGAAGGAAAGAGATGCCTCACGGCGGTTTCCTTGGGAAACCTGCCGCTTGGCTGGCACCCATTATCACCACAGCCTTCTGTGGTTTATGTGTAGACGAAGTCAGGGACAGAGGAATGTCTAGTGTGGTAAAGTGGGTTTTTGTTTGGCCTTCTCCATTCTGAACCATCTCCTGGAAATGCACATCTCAGTGGAGTTCTAGAGTGTTCCTGTGATAACAGGGATGACGGAGCACCAGGCTCTGGTGTTCCTTTTTATCATCATTACTGTTGCTGTTAAAGTCACTGATGTAGAGGAGCCCCGTGAGGGATTTCCGGGTCTAGTCAGTGTTTTGCCAGTGGGAACACCGGTGTAGGTGGACCTGGAGGAGAATGTTCCAGTGTATGCTGGAACACTTCCTTGACACTGACCCATAGTGAACGTTCTTTCCCTTGGTAGCTGGGGAATCAGATTCTGCAAAAATAACTTCGTGTGCCTGCAGGCTTCTCTGCAAGGAAGGAATATATTAAGAGGGATTTTGGAGCAGGGAATGTTCTTTCCAGTCCCATCTCCTAGGTCTCCCTCATGTCAAGATATACAAAAAAGGATCTTCCTCATTTCATTCAGAGGTGTTGTATGCCCGCCCTCCCAGCAGATGGATAAAATCCTTCCTTCATTTGCAAGTGTTTGTATTTCTTAGATGTTTTTATTGTCTGAAAAGGAACCCCCTGCTGCTGACAGCTGGCTGTTTGTACACTACCCAGAAGTTGGCTTCAGCTGCAGTCTAGAAACTTTCTCTTTAAAATGAACTTTGTACTTAAGGTGGAAATAATGAAGTGATGTTTAAGACGAGATGTTAACAACAAGGGGGGCAGGTTCTGTAGAGCCAGCAGCACTCAGACAACGGTATGGCATTTTGTAACTGTTCACACCTGCACTTGCTGGACCATGTGGATGGCTGGGAAGTCACTGAACAGATTCTCATTCTTTAAGTGCCTGTGTACACGTGGACGCTGGGGAGGACAACCTCAGGTCTC